GGTAGACTGACTCTTCTAAGGAACTGGTGTGAGGTCTAAACAAAACAACATGACTCAGCAAACCTCAGTAATAAGAGATGCAGCCAGGATCCTGGTCAGCTCCAGAATCCTGGTTCACACAGCTGAAGTTTGAGTTGGACAGCAGCCTGGGCATTGGAAAACCTGCCATAGTCCTTTTGTGGGTGGTAAAGTGTAAATAGTTTCAAGTACCAAATGTAATTCTGGCTTTTGGTTTATACTGACCTCATTAATAATTATTTCTTGTCCATTCACACTGGAATTTTCCAAAGTATCATTAGATTTTCTAAATTACACAGGATTGTTCCTTCTTAAAGTCAAAGCTGGATAGCATAAAGATGACAATATTCTTTATAAAATATACTTTTCCTATATCTTTTAAGCTTTTCACTTTCTATCCATTATTTCAAGTGCTCAGGATGTTCTTGATCATGAATATTGCTCTGGCCTGTGTCATCCATGGAGGTGTCAGGGCACAGGGCTCAGCCTTCCTTTTGGCTGCTTTGTGTTTCAACTAAGATTTATGTGTCCTGTTAATCTCTGGGTATTTTGACTGCCTATAGAAGTTTGGAAGGAATTTGGAATTTCATTTTAAATAAACTGTCATAGAAATGTCAAAGCGTTAGACGGATATACTTTATCACTCTTCGGAAAATATGGGAAGTTTCTCAGCTTGGATTCTAGAAATGGAGTGAAGTCAACCTGAGTTGATTATTTTAAATGCCAAATACAATGGGTCTAATATTCCCTAAACCTTTTCCTAATTTAACTGGAAATAAAAATTTGGGGACTACGTTATCAAAGTTGAATAAGGAATCTCAAGCCCTGAAGAGTATGATGAAGCTGTTGGAGCCTCCCAGGCTGCCCACTACACTTTGGTGATCTCTCTTTCTCCCAAAGCTAACCTCATCACTGTCCTCTACATTTACCTCTGGAATTGTCACTTAGCAAAAGCAACTCGTTTTTGTTTCTATAATACTATAATTTTATTTTTAGTTTTCATTATCTTTCTTTAACATTGATTTTGTTGTTAGTGATTAGAAAGAGGTAAGTGTGAGGTCCCCATTCACTTTTCTGTCTAAGTCCACTTGGTCCTGGTAGAAAGATAGAGAGAGAAAAGCACATCCTATAGGACATCGCCTATTCAGAGGTGATGTCACTCAGGTTCCAATCTGTTCTACTTATGTCCTCCAACGATGGAAGGGCAAGGATCAAATTGCATTTCATTTAAGTGCACTTTCTGAAGACCATTGAAAAAAATAATTTCTTTTTAAGCTTTAGTATAATTTTCCCTTATTCGTCACAAAAGAAACTATGGAAACACAAAACTAGTATAATGAAAACATCACCCTTCCCCCAAATAGGTAAAGCTGCAATAGCTTCTGCAGTCTAGGCTAAAATAATAATGTAGTGGGTAGAGATTGATTCAGGAGTCAAAGAAGAAGTTTAACTAATGGGCTCAAAGACCATGCTACACCTGAGTCTTCTTTTCCTCATGTCAAAGATAAGCTCTGATCACTTATTAGAGTCAGAGTGGAGCTGATTTTTCATGGGTGCACAAAATACAGAATAAACTCTTCAGGTCACCCTTACTGAAACAATAGCAATTCAGAGTAAGGAACCTAAAGAGTACCTGACTCCATGTTAAATGCCCCATTTCTATTTTAACAGAATGAAGATGAGACAGGGTAATTTTATGTCTAACATCGAAGAACTGTGCTATTTGTGGTAGGATAGTTCAAAGAAGTTGTGAGGAGCATGCCAGGACAATGTGGAAGGAAATGAGGTCCCTAGGAGGAAACATATTTAAAACAGAACATAGTTCTAATGGGTCTTGTTGCATCATCTTTAATGTTGGTTTGCTTTGAGGCAACAAATTCAGAGGCAAGTGGGAGGAAGCTGTTAAATGTGGTGTTCTTGGTTGACTTAACACTTGAGGATTTACCTCCACATCTGAGATATGCTGCTGGTCAGTACTGGAGTCAGCTCTATTGACCAGGGCTGGTATGTTGCACTACTGGTTTCTGTAGTATGGATGTCCCCACAGTGGCCAGTCTCAATTTGAGACATTGAACAAGAGGTGGCTGATGACTGTCATGGTCCTAAGTGCTCTCTAACCTTCAGCACATCACTGAGGTAGGATCACGGGTAGGCCAAACTATACAGCAATGCATTTGAATGAGATCTGACCCACTCTAGAGGGAAGAAAGTCCTCCTTTCCACTAATTATGATCAACATGAAAGAAAGAGGAAGCCGAGCTCTAAGTACAGTTTTCCTCTCTGGAATGCTGTCCCCATGCAGCCATCAAACCAGTATTCTGACAAAGAGGAAAATAGGAGTTTCTCAAGCAGCTTTTGGATGGAATGAAGAGAGTACAGTTAAAGGTGGAATGGGTGCAGAAACAGGGATCGTTGAGAAGAGGTTGCTAGATGTCAGGAGAAATGGATCATTCTTCAGCGAGTCCTCCACCACCCTGGGTATTTCCATTTCTTTCTATACTGTGTGGTGACACAGCAATAGGCTTTGCCACTTGTGATAAAAGGTGAAGATCGTGCTGCAAACAGCCGTGGTACGTATAATGTGTTCTTGATTGCAAGATTTCGGAGGGGTAATAAGATAGGAGCTTTTCAATGTATAGGTCACCAGTTTAAGTCCTGTCTGAGTAGACTAGGAACAAAAGTGTTGGCAGGCTATGACAAGCCCTCTACGTAGGCCCTCCTTCCTTCTCACGGAGCCGGAGCCTGACGCTGCAATTGCACCTTCTTTTTGCTTCTACTGGCAGCACAAAGGGTGAATAGAAATGTCATTGTGAGGGTTTTATTCCAGTCTTTGTGGCAAAGAAATGTGAGACATGAGAAAGGCCAATCTGCTTTCATCTCAAACAGCCAGCCAGCACTACTCCCTAATAAATTCCTGGATCTTCCTGAGATGTATTGAAATAAAACCTCAAGCACCTTATAAGCAAAAAGTACGTCTTACTCAGAGGAAGTTAATTACATAAAGGAATATTGATAAAGAAGATTTAATGTGCTTATCTCTTGAACTGAATTTTAAAGATTTATTTTGTTTTCTACATTTTCATTTTGATAAAAAGCTCATGGATATAAAGAACTTTTTCATATTTTATTAGATGTATGTGTAATGACATTTGACTTTCCCACTGTATTTCACTATAATATCATGACTAGCTGTTTAGTCCATCCTGAAGAAATAGTATATTTTTCTTTCACTTTAATAGGTCTAATGAAATCCTTGACTTTCATCATTACTGATATTTCTACTTTCATGTAATTTTGTTGCCCACAATTCCAGTAATAAGTAGATAGTAAAACATCTGGTTACCTGGAGAAAAGCAACATAAATATTAAAGGGGCCTCCGGGGAAGTGTTTGGGAATGCCAATCAAATTTTATCATATTAGTAGCCACAGGCTATGAACCCTGCCATGGAATGTACTCTGATCAGAAAGCAGGACAGGAGCCCTGTGCATATCCATGAGAAATGATGAAAGGCCCTTATTAAAAACAGCAATAGCCAGGAAAGATAAAATGTTTCTTATGGAGATCTATAAATAATTATACATCATCTTATGATTATCTTTTTAAAGATTATCAATATTTTTACTGGGCATTGAAAATCATGGTGGGTGGTCTTATGTTTTTCACACACATACACACACACACACACACACGTATCTGTACTTAGCTCCTACTGACCAATCTACTACTTTTCCCCTAAGTACTATGCCTTTTATTTTCATGTCATAGATAGATAGATGGTAGATAGATGATAGATAGATGATAGATACATAGATAGGTGGTAGATAGATGATGATGATAGATAGATAGATGATAGATAGATAGATGATGACAGATGATAGATAGATGATAGATAGATAGATAGATAGATAGATAGATAGATGATAGATAGATAGATGTATAGGCATACATTTAAATCTAGGTCTGCATATAAGAAAAAAATATGATATTTATCTTTCCTATCCCTTCTTCCATTCTCCTGTGGCCCTCACTCCTCCTTGAGACTGCTTTCTCCCCCAAAACTCCCCTTAATGCTATGGTTCTTGTAAATATTTTAACCAGAAACAACTGTTGACACCATATGTTAAAAAAAAAAAAAAAAACTAAAGCAACGTATTCAGTAAAAGATGCACCCTAACCAAAGATGTGCTTTGGTCAGTGATATGTAAAAACTGAAATCCAAGCTATCCTCCTCTAAGAATATCATATGCCCAGAGATTGTGAGCTACGTATAGAAATATCTCCTTAACTCCAGTCCCAGGGGATCCGACAGCCTCTTCTGACCTCCGCGGGCATTGCACGACACGGCACACTTACCTACATGCAAGTAATACACGCATACACATAAAATAAAAATAACAATTAAAATTTTTTTAAAAGAAATATCTGCTAAAAACACCCATTTCATCTAAATGAAAAATCTGAAACACACTCATTGCAAACTTATCTACAGTCATAAAATAAAACGGGGTTGTCTTCAGAACTTAAGTGCCTGTTACCATGTTTTGACTCAGTTTCCTCTATAGAACACCACAGCAAAGATAAATTTCACCTGGGAAAAGGCATCTAAAACCAAATGATAGTCCCCTCTCTAGTAGCTGCAAAGCACAAAATATTCACGTGCATGCCTCCTATCCCTTCATCCTCTCCTGTGATCATTGCAGCTAATCCCTGCCAGCCTGTGTCACCTCTTCAGTTGTGGCAATCGATGGAATGGATCAGCAATGGAATTCTCCATCCGTAACCTACTTACTTCTGTGCCTTTCTTCTTAGACAGAAATGTCATTCACTAGAATATAGGCAGGCAGGCAGGCAGAGGGTATCTCCTGACACAAATATAAACTCATCAGTCTTCACATCTGTCCCTTTAATGTAATATAATGCAGACACACAATACACAGAGATAGAGTATACACACATGCATATGTATGTCATGGGCCACACCTGTAGATTTAGTAAAACAGCACCAATCCTCATGGCTTCGCTGATTTCGAGGCTGTACATCAGCTGTGGGAAGCGGGGAGGGCTTTGATTGTTGGGTGGAAGCACTTCAATATACACAGTGCAGATGGAGTGCCTGTGCAGAGAGAAGTGGACAGGATGTTTAACAATACATAGAACATCGGAAGTTGCATTCTTTATTCGTTTGCTGGGTTTACAGGACAAGAAATTTTGAAGTTTTATAGAAAACAGTAAAATCATAAAATAAAACCATAAAAGTTACCAATATATAATGCTTTTATGAAATTAGCCTAGTAAGAGAAAAAGTGGCCTGTAGTACCTATGTCTCTTTAGATTAATAGTACAAGTTAAAAAAGGAACAGCTGTATCATAAGCTAATAAATCAATGCATCTGAAGTATAGATCTTATTTTCCAGCAGCAAAAATCCTTCTATAAACATCTGGTTATAGGAGCTGTCTGTTCTTCAGACTCCTTTTCTATTAAACCAGCAGAGGGAGTATTGGTTAACACAACATATAAATACATATCCATGCACATGCATCCACACACAAAAATAAAACAAATCATTAGCAACAACAACAAAAAATTATGGGCTGTATTTTGCTAGTTCTGACATCATCAGCTTATGTGAACATACGTCTAAAGCAAAAATACTTGGGTAAATTATTGGTAAAAAAATAAATAAATGAAAACCCTAGGGTAAATTATTGGCAAAAAAGAAAACCTAGACATATATTAAAATCTGCTTTGAGTATAATATGAAAGGCTGAAAACTACCTTGAACAAAACCTTCCTAGAGTAGATGTTTCTATGAAGGCTACAAAGCTGCTTTGTAATCAAAGCAAAAACATTTAATGTTGACATATCAACTCTTTAATATTTTTGAATCCTGAATGTTTAACTCATTAAAGCAGAAGCAGCAAAGGATTCAAGGTATATGAAGAGGAAACATTGGTTGAACTATATCAAAAAGACTTGTGAAACTGATACATATAAAAAATTAATATCAGTCTTTACTGTCAGACACTGTAAAACTTTGACTTAGGACAAGGAATTCAAATCCTCCCCTCCACCCACATGCACCCACTCCATGTAAAACTTTTGTTTATGCAAAAGCCCTGCTACATTCCTGGGCATCCCTTTTGGCCAACTCTTTACCCTTTCTTCATTTTCTTTACTGCAATTCTTTTAAAAACTAGCCAACATCAAAAGACAGTGAGATCAGACAAACTCAGTGGAGAAGAGGCACAGCACTCTTGAGTTAAGGCTTAAAACCTATCAAACTGAGGGTTCAAGCATGCTCACTAGAGCTGAGTTACAGAATGTGCCCTTTCGCAACAATAAAGCTGCCTTGCCTGGTTACTTCACTTTTTGTGCGTGTGGTATCGGTGGGGTCCTTGGACCTGAGCTTTTATTCCTAGCATGGCCCATACAGTCCGCTACCTTAAATGCATATTGGATTTCATACAAACATACTGCCATTTACTGAAAAGTGGACTTTAAGCATTGTTTTCACAAAATCATTATTTTCTATTTAAAACAATAACTACTATTTGGGGGCCTAGAATTTTCTTATAGTACAAAACTCTTTTTATTAAGTATTTCAATTACATAAACCATTTTGCTTTTTATAAAGCTTCTAAGTGGGGCTGGAAATATAGCTCAGTGGTTAAGAGCACTGACTGCTCTTGCATAGGTCTGGGGTTCAATTCCCAGTGCCCACATAGTGGCTAACAATGGTTTATAACTCCAGTTCTGGAAGAATTTGTTGCCTTCTTCTGACCTTTGTGGACATTGTGTGACACGGGTGCACTTACACACATGAAAGCAATACACTCATACACATACATTTTTTTAATAATAAATATTTAAAAAATTTCTAAGTGAAATATGGACCTTGGCACTCAGATCTAACTTTGCAGCCTTTCTGTGGTAGGTACGCACAGGTAGATTCTGTTTCTGATGCCTCTTCACACACAGATCTAGAGAGAATATTACGCATCTATAAAGGCTGGGATCTCTTAAAACTTCCCACTTGCATTTATTGTAATATTGGTCCAAAGGAAACTCATTTTACATTAAATTCTGTCCAAATGTTATAATCAGTTAAAATATCAGAATTCAGTTTTATGGTTTAACACTTATTAAAACTCACACAATGAATCAAACTTTGCTTGTTTCATCTCGATACATATTTAAATAAAAATATTAATGAAATAACTAAGATTTAATAATTAAAAATTGCCTTTTTGGACAAAGCTTAAAGTGGGTTGAATAATTACAAAATATTGCTTATAAACTTGTAGTATTCATTAGCTATTCAGGTGGACGTCAAGTAAAAGAAAATTACAAACTCTTTAAATATTTTTATTAATTCAGAATGTCATGCAGTGTGTCTTTGTCATGGTCTCCCCTCTCTCAGCTCTTCCCAGCTTCCCCTACTCTCTACTCACATTTAATGTAAAGTGAAGCAGAGTCCCACTTCTTGGTGAGAGCCCTTCAGGTAGGGCCAGACTATGCAGCTAGTCCTCCAGTCCTCCAGCCTCAGGCCAGTGGAAAACCACAGGTGGCTGGAAATTCGTTGCTGCTCCTGTTTGTTTTCTTTTGTTCTTGAATCTCCCTATTTATCCCAGTTTGGTTTGGACCTTCTGCCTAACCCTCCCCTGGAATTTAACATCAATCCTACTCAATCTCTGGAGTGCTGGGTTATAGTCATAAATCACCATGCCTAACCCTAATGTAAAAATTTGCAGCCAAACAACCCTTATTATGTTGCACACACTAGCCTGGAATTTAATATCAATCTCACTTAATCTCTGGAGTTTTGGGATTATAGTCATAAGTCACCACGCCTAGCCCTAATGTGAAAATTTGCAGCCAGACAACCTTTATTAGACTTTTGGTGCTCTTTCCAATGCATGACCTTCAGCTGCGACAGAGGACAACTTTGGTCCGATGTAGCTTTCCTCTGTCATCGGCTTTTCCTCTTTCCCTTCTCTGGTCCTTTCCATAATAATTCGAGGGGTGAAATTACTAATTATGCTCTTATTTTCCTTTGGGACTTGATCTTAGAGTTATTTGGGGAGCATCTATTTCAGGGTCTTCTTCAGTCTTTCGGCCTTGAAATTGGCTGTGATATTTTAGTGAGCCTTCTTGTGGTTATTGCCTTTTAAAATGATATCTCCTTTTTATCCCTGATGTCAGCAGTGTCAGAGTCAGCTTTTCCTAAAATTGAATACCAATGGCATTTACAATAAAATGATGACTTAATGCTGTAATAAATACCAGTAATTCAGCACAACTTAAGCACATAATAAAACAGGGCAGTCACTAGGTAAATAATAACATTTTATGTATTTCATATTTACATTTTATAGCCAGTCCTGAATGCATAAAACTGAGCTTCTATCTAACCATATTTTATTTTTTTAATACAGTCAGTATGATGTAAATAAATATTATAATTTCTAAAAATGAAAACGAAGCCTTATCATTTCCCATTTTTAATAAAAGTCAAAATAGAACAAAGAGAAAAGATATTTATCAGATAACCTTATGATTAAAAAAACACTTTGGATGACCAGATTTGAGTAGCTAGTTTTCCAAATTAAAATCATTAAGTTAATAAAGTTACCAAGCTAATTAACAACAACAAATAAATTTAGAAGGCTTATTAACTCAGAAATTACTAATGCTTTCTCTCTACAGCTCATAAGAACAAATTTGTGATATGTATCAGAGGACAGAATTTTTCTATCGGGAATGAATATGAAAAGCCCTTGCTTTGATACAAAGAATGTTATCATGTACAA